TGAAAAATCAGCCATTCAATCGTTCATCTAATTATTCAATCAGCGCACAAATCAATCCATTCAGTTCATTAAATGATGAAAGTTAGTTGATGAATTCCAACCATTTACAAACAAGTGAAATTTAAATGCTAAATGTTAAATCTGTTCACAACAAAATTTGTTCGAAATTACATTGCGCATACTATCATTATTCGATTACTGTAAATTAATCAATCTTACATACTAATCAATTAATTAGCAGTCTTTTTTTTAATCATTATTACATTTAATTCATCCTATACTAATCGTTTTTCTTTAAATTTCATTTCTATTCTATTTGGAAAGAAAAGCAACAAAAAATGAGGGAAAATTTAACAAACACAAATGATTGAATTAAATTTAAATCAATTGCATAATCAAGAGATGGAAATGTCCATTGAACAACTTATATTTTGTTTATTTCCTTCACAGAATATTTGCAATTAGCACTTTTTTTCTTTTCTTTTTTTTTTTTTTTTTTGTTTTGTTTAAATAAATTTTCAAACAAAATCATTAGTTGAAAAAAATAAAATAAATTTTGATTTGAGGCACAAAAAAATGAATTAATTTTTTTTTCGTTTTTCACTTCATTAAATAAAAATGCCTAAAAAAAAATTATCTGACGAAAATAAAAAGTGTCACTTAAAATTATTGGTAAAAATGAAATAATAAAGAAAAATTGAGAAAATGAGTTAACTTTTTTCGCAATGTATATGTATAAAAGAGGTAAAAAAGTAAATAAGTAGTTGGGTAAGTAATTGAGATATATGTGCAAATGTTTGTTTTTGATAGATTTGCGATAACTAAAAATTTAATTAAAAAATAACCTAAAACACAAGTATATTTCAAATTTGATAAATTAATCAAATTCTATACGATTTTGTTCTTTTCTAGTTTATGAACAACTGATTAATAAATAATATATTGTTTTTTTAAGAAAAGCAAGAAGAGAGGGAGAAGGAAAGAGAGAGGGAAAGAGAAAAAAAATCTCTAATCATTTTTTTTCTTTTCGTTTTTTTAAAAAATAGAAAGAGAGATGCGAGTTAAGGAAGAGAGGTAGAGAGACATGAATATTTTTTTTTTTTTTTTTTTAGATGAAAGATCGAAAATTGAAACAGAAAAGAAGGTGGTGAAAAAGAAAAAAAAGATTTAAAAATTGCTTCATTTCAAATTTTTTTTAGTTTCATTTATTCAAAGTGAGATTTGACTTCTTTTTCTTTCATTTAAATTAGTAATTAGCGTGTAAAGTGAAAATTACTTCAAAATGGAACAAAAAATTCAAAATTTGCAACATATATAGCAGAAATGAAAATGAGGTTAAAAGAAGAAATAAACTTTTATCGATCATACAATTGCATTTAGTTGAAATTAAAATTTCAAATATTGGAATAACGAAAGAACGAAACAGAGGGAGAGAGAGAGAGAAGAAGAAGAAGAAAAGTCAGTATTTTATTGATAATATTTATTTAACTCCTTTTTTCCAACTTATTAGCATAAAAATCCTTCCAATCTCACTTTTATGGTTGGTAATACTGATACTTTTTTCCTTCAAGTTAATACATTTTCAACCATTGAAAACTCGTAATTCACGTAAATTCTGCTATTGTTATTTCCACATCTATTATATATATAAGATAGGATAATCAAGAAAAAAGGAAAAAGCTTGAATATTAATTACCTCAAATAATTTCGAATTATTAATTACTTTTCTTAACCCTCAATTTTGTTCTTCTTAATTTTCTTAATAACTTTTAAAATATATGCTCAAAATTGAAAAAATTTCACAACACAATAGAATTTTTTGTTAGGATTTTCAATACTATTAAAAAATCACGACAATGATTCATAATAATAAATAATCACAAAAACTAATTATATATATATATTGCATTACGAATTACATTTTTCTACTTTCTGAATTAACCTTAAGGTTAATTAATTCAATAGGTTTAACACACGAATCAAAAATAACACTTATGAGAAAATTTGGAAGTAATAAATTGTTATTGCTAAGAGATAGAACAAACCATAATATTAGATGTGAAACAGATGATAATTAAAAAGTTATAATTCAGAAAACGTGAGAATTTGTTATTTTATGAAATAAATTACCTAATAAAACCTAACAGTAAATTCTTTAATAACAAATTTGTGATTTTTAAAATAAAAAGATTTTTTTTTTTTTTGCAATTAGACATGAATTCTTAATTATAATTAAAGCAATAAATTATTGACTTTGAAATATTATTAAAAAGATTTTTTAAATATACATTTTGATTTATTGAACATTGAAATCATCTATTGTGTTGCAAAAATTCCATCATATATATTTTAAATGAAATTGAAACATATTTGTTCCTTTCTTTTGTTTCATGAGTCTTCAAAAAATTTCGTGTGCAATTTCAATTTTTTTGATATTTTTCTTTTTTTCCAAATTCCATTAAAATTTCTTTCTATCTTAAAATTATTTCTAATAATTCTTTAGAGAATAACTTTGAGAAGGTCACAGTTTTCTAATTCTAATGCTTAAACACTTTTTTTGTGTACAAATTTGGTAAATTATTTTTCATCAATTTCTTAGCATTTTTTTTCTTTTCGTTTTAGTTGAATGAATTTTTTATCAGATAATATTCCCATAGGAAATTAGTTGAAGTAACTCATTCATTGCTACTAATTTTGAATCATTCTTTTTTCTGTTATTTACTCATTAACTTTGCTACTTCTTACTTTTCCAAAATGAGAAATGGATAGTTTACTCGACAATTTTGTTATTTTGATTATTATTGATTAATGATAATGAATAATATCTGTCGTTGTTTAAATTTTACTATTTATTACTCGATTGAAACAAAATTGTAATATGTATAATAACTAGAATATTTCAAACTGTATTACTTGTCATTTTATCTTTGCGAAGTGCTAGTAATAAATAATCGCTTTTATCCTTCAAATGATATATATCACTTATCAATTGATTAATTTAAATTAGCGATAATGAATGATTGACAATTTATTCTTTTCTCTATTCATTCCTTATTCCTTCAAAAGGTAGCTTGGAAGTATTTCTACCTTAAAATTTTCAATTTCATAAACTAATTTTTGTAGTCAAACACTTATTTTTTAATTTTATATAACAAATCCTATGAAATAATCAGACCAAACCAATAGTTTAATTTGAAATTTATTGTCTGCTAGCTTTTTCTCGTGCAAATGATAGTTTATTAGAGTATTATTATTGAAAAAGAAAAAGTCAAATTTAATTAGTTCTTGTTAATTAATATTAGTTATTTGTGCTATAAAATTTCAAATCCATTTTCCTCTTCTATACATTGTTTACTTTTTTCAGTTTAATTTAGTGGAATTAATTTTTTTTTTTTTGTCTAAATAATTATAAACTTCAAAATAACATTTTATATTATCCAAGTTATTAGCAGCTGCTAAAATCATTCCTTCTAATCAGTGTATATCTTATCAATTATCTCATATTTGAAGAGTGAAAAAATAAAAGCTAAAAAAACTAAGTCTGAATTTATGCCTTTACATTCCCATTATAAATTAGCCAGTTTTTATAAAATGTTTAAAATGAGATAGGAATTATAATTAAGTTCTGTTCTTTCTATCAAGCATTTCATTATTGCTGAATTCCATTTATAAGTTACTTTAAAAATTCTCTTCTGACATGTGGATCCGTCTTTCTACTACTTATTTTCATGATTTATCAAAAATTTGCATGATTTTTTTCGATTATTTCCTCATTTGATTTTTTAGAAGTTAATAATTTGCGCAAAACCTTTATTATTTTCCTAATAGCTCTCTATGTAAGCTTTTGAAACAAAATATTATTATGATATAAATAAATTAGTAAAACCAAAAGTAAAAAAGCAAAATGAGTTACCGAAGGTTCAAGGGTTAAAATGAAAAGATATTTGTCTTTCGTTTGATCGTTGAATATACTAATAGATTGTGATAGTTATTACTGATTATAGCTAGATTCTCATTTTCAAAATTTTTTTTTTCAAATTTCAAATTTTAAGTTTTATGTCTAATATGAAATTATTATTGTGAAAAAATAACGAAGAAAACAACGAAGCATTAAGTAATAAGATGTTTTGATAGTTTGCCTTTCTTTTAGAAAATATTTAATCACAATGAGAGGTTTAATAAATTAACGTAGTTTCAGTGATTGAAATAACAAAATTTAGGCATTTATGAAATTAACAATTCTTTCAATGACTTAATGGAAGCTTTTTTTTTTTGACTACTGTATTGTATAGTGGTTAGTCCGGTACTTCAATCATCTCATGATTACTGAATCATTTCATAGTTATTGAATCATCGTCCTAGAAGAATTTCTGAATCTTAGTTATCATTCCAGTACGTTTTATTTTATCACTATACTATTGTTTCCCACACTCTTGTTAATGTTACACACTCTTGTTAATGTCTTGTTATTAATTAATGCTAATTAATACGTTAATTAACATTTAATTGAATTTTGAAAGATTAATCGTTCAATTTTGATGGCTATCCAACTTCAGATTCATTTTTGATCTAATAAATTTAAAAAAAGAGCTAAAGATATGAGTTCGGAAATGAGTGCAATAGTGTATTTTTGGATTCAATATAAAGTAAAAATTGGAATTCTTTCCCCTTTCTCTTTTTCATTCCTACTACTTTTTCATTATTTAACTAAGCATTTGAATTTTTATTTAAAACTAACTAAATGTTTTCTATAGTAAAATTTCATCATGTTTTCTTAACTTTTATTATTTTTTTCCAAAAAAGGAAATTTTCTAACTTAATAATTTCAAACCTTATAATTGTCAACTCAAATTACAGAATTTTCAAATATTTCTTTCTATTTTTCTTTTTTTGTCAACTATTAAAATTATTTGCCATGGTAATAGTATTATTGTTTATTTTTACATATTACTTGTTTTTCCATATTTGCATAAAATTCATTGAGGGTTGCAGTAAAAAATATGCAAAAAATATGGCTTTCGAATGAGAAAAGGCTATTATTGACAAATGTCGCGGTGACATCCTCATTACTTGGTATATCCGATGGATTACAACAATGGATTAGCGGTGATTACAATTCTGATCAAAACAAATCATTTAACGTTGCAAGGACAAGTTTGTTTAATTTATTTATTTGTGTATGGAATAAAAGTACTGAAAAAATAAAAGTATTTTCAATATTTACAAACAAATTTGCTACAACAATAATTATAATAAGGATTATAAAAATAATAATAATAATAGTTAATAATCAGTGATGAATAAAAACAAATAATAATTGCGATGATGATAATAAAAATTAATGATAGTAATAATATTAGTAACAATAATGATAATAATGTCAATAATAATAATAATAATAATAATGACTAGTAATATAAGTAATAATAGTTAATAATATAAATAATAATAATTAGTATTAACAATAATAATATAAGTAATAATAATACCAAGTAGGCATTACATATGAGGAAACACGTTAAAAAATATTTTGTAGTTAGATGTACATAATAATCAATTGTAATTTATAAATCCAAAAAAGACGTCAAAATATTAAGGTCAATTTATTATTATTTGACAATTTTGTAATTAATTACTTGCTAAGGACAATTTGCAACAATGGGCCTAGTTATTGGACCGATGTGTCATTTTTGGTACAGATGGTTAGAAAAGACAGTGATACATGGTACAAAAGCAACTATTGTAAGTAAAAAAATTGCATGTGATATTGTCGCATCACCTATTTTTGGATCAATATTTATATCAGGTAAACATTACAGTACTCATTTATACTCTGTAATAAGGCAGCAGTGCAGTTGGAATTAAATTGCAGAGTAAAATGTATGGATAATAATTTCTGGATGGTATAATAAAGTACAACATTATATTGAACAAAAAGAAAACATAAAATATTGTTCCTTTTCCAATCATACTTTTGGTTTGGTACAAAAAACAAAAAAAATTTAAAGTAAGGAGGATTTGGACAATTTTTACCAATTTTAAATAGTGTAAATGGCCAATTTTTATTTCACTATGCATGACATTCAGTTAATTCATTCTTTTCCATTTTTTTCTTCAAAATATTTTTAAATAACTATTGCAAATTTTCAAATTATTTACGATTTAATCTATTCAATTTAATTTAAGCAACAATAATCATTGGATAAAACCACTTATTAATATTTGAAATTGAAAATTTTATAGGACTTGCACTATTGGAAGGTAATTCGATTGTTGATGCTATCGCTGAATATCGAAGGAAATTCATCCGAATATTTGTGGTATATTATATAAATTTTTGATTTTCGAACGTTTAAATTCTCATCAATTTTCATCAAAATCACTGCATTGATTTGAAAAGAAGGAAAAGAGGAAAAAAAGATTAATAAAAGGACCTAAAAGAATATGAATAGTTGATTTTTTCCTTTTTCAAATCGAATACATTTTTAATTTAAATCATTTTGTTAAAATTTAATTTAAGTTCAAAATGCTCTTCATTTTAGCTAATATTTACTATACAATAGATTAAATATTAATAATAAACAAATTATCAAAATTTTCTATTATTAACTGTTAACACATCACTATTTATTTTTGTTGCATTCCAAGCACCCCTTGATAATATATCAAATTCTATGATAAGAAAAATAAAATATTCATTTATGATAAATTATCTTATCATAATGATTTTAGATTATTCGCTATTTTTTCCTGCTTTCACAGCACTGATTAAAAGCTTCAATAAAATTTGGTTGCAATTAATTGAATTGATTGACAAATGCAATTCATTTCAGTTAGATATTTGTGCTTGGCCACCTACGCAACTAATCAATTTCTGGTTTCTACCATTGAAATTTCGAGTAATTTATGTGAATTGTGTACAATTATTTTACAATTGTTGCTTGTCATACATTAAGCATAATGAAGCAGGTAGTGTCAAAAATATTAGTTCTACTTAATTAATTTAAAAAATAACTTAATTCTGTTTTATTATTAAAATAATAATTTTAGATTTTTGCTTGCGATTTGATTTCTTTTATGTAAAGAAAACAAAAGCATTGTGAAAATTATACTTAAAAAACAGGGAATAAACTGGCAAATGTTTTTTTTTTTCCTTTAATTAATTTTGACAGAAAAATTCGTATTTCATTTAGCAGATAATAGTAAAAAATACTAATTATACCTAATCTTTAAATTGATTGTATTTTTTTTATATTACTGCACATTTGATGGTACAATTGATTTATGTAAATTTAAAATATGATAATGATATTTAATTAGTATGAGAAATGTATTTAATTTATTATGATAAAGTATACTGATTATGTTTAAGATTTCATAAAATTATTTTTGATTTATGCAAGGGATATTTGAAGGATAATAATCATCTGCGGATAATTATAACCATACGAAATTTGATTCTCGTTTCTAAATTCTTTTATCTCTTCTAATTTAGTTCTTATTTACAAAAAAAAAAATTTTTTTTTTATGACAATAAGGAAAGATCAAATTTTCATGCCTAAATTTTCATAACTAAGGAAAAGAGTTATTGTAATCATTTTCCTAAAGAATTTTGCAGGTGTTAACTAGTTTTATCACACCTTATCGCTATTTCCACCTTTCATAATTAAAAATAATCCAATATGATTAATATAATTAAACTATTTTTCACTTTTTTTTTCACCCAATTTATTTGTTTGACTTAAATAAATAATAACATAGCAGTAATATTTAATAATAACATTTGTGTCATTATTAATATTATTATCATTATCACTAATAATGTTACCAATTCGCCCTATGATTGCCCAATGATATATGATATTGAAATTTCAATTTTTTTGTGTGTGTTATTAAACATGGTATATGTTAATAAGTACATTTAACAGTAATTGATATTTGATTAAAATTCAAATGTCAGCAGTTATGTGCTGTTGAAAACGGAAAGAAAAGAAAAATTTTGTGCATAAAAAAAGTGAATATAAATATTATTACACGTCCGAATTTGGCAAACTTTGAATGTTGCAAGCTACTCGTCAGTGTAACATAATTAAATCAACCATTCCTTATGTCACATTGATAGAAAATATGTTTACAAACTATTTGCAAATTTTTAGTTTTCTTGAAAATATAATTTTCGAAAGAAAACGATGCAAAATTGGAGTAACTTACCTGGAAATAAAAAAGCTCTCAAACAATATTTTAAGATTTTTTTATCAGAAATCGAATTCAAATTTATTTCGGTATGGTCCAATTTATCCGTAGAAAGCTTCATTTCATCGATGTACATTGATCGATCACTGTACATTTTGATAATATCACGTTAATTTGAAATTATCAGATTAGTGGAATCGTTTTGAATCATCACAATTCAAATATGTCGAAATGATTATCTGCTGGTGGTGACAGGTGACACTATCAATCAATAGATATACTACCCGCATAATTTCTATCAGTTTATTCGTTATTAATATTTCATCCGTTAATATGCAAAACCGGTAATGATGTAAATACAGTATCATCGATAATTATTATTACTACATCCGATAATTATCGACCACTGAACATTAATCCTGGATATTTTGGCACCTAGTAACTCCTTCTTTTTCACCATTTCGAATAAAACTTTAAATTGATTCCTACCGGAGTAGTAAGCAGTAGCTATAATCGAAATTGATTTTTTTTTTATTAATTTTAGCCATTCCAGCACTGCTAGAAAAAGATATATACTTTTTAGCACAACTTTTTTTAGCACTTTCTGTGTATGACTTTCGCGTAATTTGTAAAAATTTAACTTTTTAATCCTCAAGATTTTAGTATATTTGCTTTTATTCAAAGTGAAAAATTATTTTTTCACAAATATAAGAATTAAATTTTACTTTCAATTATGTTTACTGTATGAATTTTTGTGCTTTCAAATATTAATGCAAAATTAATTATTTCTTTTTTAAAATGCTGTGTCTCATTACAGTTAATTTCTTCATACTTGAGACTTATTCAAAAATTTTTCAGGTCTTTTTAACTAACTGAAAGAAATTTTGAAAATTTTAGAAAATTTTTTGCAAATATAATTTTTCATCCTATTCAATGATAGGTGCTAAATCTTAATTATTTTTTCAGCTTTTATTGATAGCCAATATTATTGGTACTTTAATTTTTCAGGAAAAAACTGGATTAATAATTTTGATAGGAATGAACGATGATAAATTGATTATCATTATACCAGACGTCATATTTAATTTATCCAAACATATCGATAACCGGTGAGTTTTTTCATTTTTTTTTTAATTTTCTGATGTAATTTTTTTTTTTTTTTGAACTTAATTTTTTTTTCTTTTAAGTAATAAAAAAAATTGTGAATTTTAGAAGTTTGGAGTTTAAATACCGAAACGAGACTAAAATTCTAATTAATCTAATTGCTTTGTTATTTTATCTTACATCGATATTATTAAATTGCTATTTATTATGTTTAAACATCAAGTGCGTGGATTATCGTAGATATAAAAGGTATGAATGAATATATTGTTATTTGATAATACCAAATTTTTTGATAAATAAAGCGGAAGAAAAACTTAACCAATAATTATTTTCTTTTTATTATTTTCTGTATATTCGGCGTTTTTTCCTTTTTAACTATTTATAAGTAATTAATTTGATATCATTTCTCTAATATCATGATAACAAATTTTATCAATTAGATTATTTTCAGATGTTTAACAACTATTAATTGAATTAAGTTTTGCAAATTGAATTTTTAATTCTTTCTTAAAATTAATACAGATTACCGCTACTGATTATTAATTTTGCCATTTCTAATATTATTCTTGCAATTGGTTTTCTGTCTTATACATTAATCATCGATATTTATTGTCAGACAGAAATTATAGCTGATAGCAATAAGAAAGATTCTGATGGTTTAACAGATACTACTATTTTAAAGGTTTCTATTTCTTTTTTAAAAATTTTTCTCTATATTTATTTTCTGTTTTTTATATAAAGTGAGTTTTAATTACGACTTATATTTCATAGTGACAAATTTGAATGCTGTCAAATTTTTATCAGATACAAAATATTATCAGATATAAATGCTTTAAATTTATAGTTAGCCAAAAAAACTATTCGACAATTATTAATTTGCTAAAAGAAACAAAAAAAGAAAAAAAAACTGTCTAATTTTTATAAATAATTAAAAGATTCGTCGATAAATTATAGCAAAAACAATTTGATTAGGATTGATCTTATTTGTTTTCAAATAATTTCACATTTTGATAGTATACAAACAAAATTTATCAATTAATCATTCCAGGAAATGCTCAAATATCAAATAGTGCATAATTTCGGTAATATTCAAGCATTATTCCTACTTTACCTTGCTACCGATTCATATTTTTCATTATTCATTGAATACAATCCGAATTATCAATCACTTATCATTGTTACGATACTTTTATCACTACCTTATATTATTTCTATATTATTTATTGACATGAGATTCCTTCAATTATTAACTACTACTACTACTTCTATTATTGTTTTTTAGTAAGTTTTACTCTTTATTTTTTCTATTTTTTCTTTCCTTCATTTTCAAATTAATGTTTAAAAAGTTATAATTTCAAATGATTATATACTAAACATCATTTTTCCATTTTTTTTCTTTTTTTGATTTTCTTTTTTTAATTTGAAACATCGAAATTGTTTCAATTTCAGTCTATTTATTTAAAATAGAATCAAACTTTTTCTTTGTTTCAAAAATATAATTTTCATTTTCTGCATTTTTCAGTTTGTTAATTCTCATATTAGTGCCATCGTTATCATTTCTGTTAGCGTTATGTGTCATAATAAGACAATGTCAAATGAAAACATTTCGGGTGCATAATCGATCATTAAAAATGGCATTGCTAATAATTAACTTCTTTCAACTAATCGAAAAATGGGGATTAGCTGTAGAACTTTTTGAAGCAAATTTTCACATTGTTATTGTTGTCGATAATAATAATGATAATTATTATTTACGAATCATTTTGAATAATTTGTATGAGGTAAAATTATAAAATATTTTATGCTAGTAAATTAATCTTCACAAAAATTTTAGCTAAAATTTTATTATTTGTCACAATTATTTTATTATATATATATATATATATATATATATATATATATATACATCATTAAATTAATAAATTCTTTTATAAATTCTTTTCTTCTTTTATAGAAATTTTTTCAAAAGTCAATATATTTTAAGTGTTGCAGTATTCCTATCCTGACTGTTAATATTTCTTCATTAACATAATTAGATCGTGAAAAAAAAAAAAAAAAACAAATGTGAAAATTCTGAAATATTTTAAATTAACAAAAATTTATGGAATTACAGATAGCACATGGATTAACCTTACTAATGCCTTTCCTATCAGCTTTAATTCTTATTTCACTTGCTAGAAGTTATCGAGAGCGAACTATTCAACATTTTCAACAACTTTTGCGGTGGATTTGTTGTAAGGAAGTAGAAGATAAAATTGATTATAATGTGGAAACAATGCATTCAATTATTGCTGGACAAATTCGCCAACGACAACTTTTTAATAATTATTCATCTAACATTGAAATATTTTAACAACTATTTGTGTGCTAATTATCATTCAAATTTTGCGCATGCAAGTTTTTTTTTTTTTTCTTCATGTAATAAATCTAAAGTTTATGATACTTTAATCACAACCCTTTTTTTGGAAAAGTTATATTATTATTAATGTTAATGAATGCAATTATTGGTTTCGTAAGCACATTCAGTAAATTTTTCCACAAGCATTTTTTTTAAAAAAAGAAAATTTAATAATAGTGCTCATTATATGCTATAAAATAATATTTATTTATTGATAGTTTAACTGAAATGAATGAAAATTTTAATAGAAAAAATTTATTAATTCAACAATGATTATAATTTAATAATTAAATTCTCTTATCTGTAAAAATTGTTTGAATGAATTTTAATGATGTCTCTTTTATTAATTAACATTTACATATCGTTTTATAGAAAAGTTAAGTTCAATTAACATAAAATTAATATGCTAATAATATTCATGTGATATGAATTTCACGTTTACGATATAGTCGATGACGTCGCATAAATCTAATGTCATGAAATGCTCGATTACATATATCACAATGATATGGCCGTTCTACGCTATGCATTATGAAATTCAAGCTTTTCCGATTTATCAAATGATCTACTGCACCAATAACACAGACACAACAATTTCTTGCTATGTAGTAATTTATGATGATTTTCATGATGATCACGTTGACTAAGTGATCGGCCATATATATTACACTGATACGGTCATTCCGTAGTATGCAATGATCGATAATGACATTCAAGAAGTTCCGATTTCGGGAATGATGAGCTGCATGAATTACACTGATGATATGACATATAAATAATATTATTAGTATCTTGTTTTTTAAACGTACGTAACGTGAGTGATTAATTACACTTGCCACAAATATTTGATTGTTTATTATCTGCAATTACCATATTCCTTTTGAGTTGCAAAAAATGTGAATGTTGATTGCACTTAGAATTGTTTGGCTCAATCAGTTGATCAAAATCATTTTTTAGTCCAAATATGCTGAAATTATAATGTTTATTACATTATTATGTAATTTCAAATTTTAATGTTTTAATTGATCATAAGGACAAAACATATATTCGACTCATTTATTCTCTTTAGAATTAATAAAATTATTAATTATTACTTTTTATTGTTGAGAATTACCAAAAATGCATTCATTTAATTTTTTTTTTTGTTTATTTTAATTGGTAAATTATTCGTAATTATTACATAACTTGCTGCAATTCGATCATTTGAAAAATTAAATAATACAAGAAGAAACCCATTGCGTTTTGAAATTGTTTCTTCTTGAATATCCTTTAAAAATTACTTAAATTTCAATTTTTTTTTCTCTAAACTAACGATTAATATATACCTAAGACAGTTATGAATTTTTTGTTCGAGGAGTGATTTAATTGCAAGCAATTACTCCTTTAAAAAAAGCACCTTATTACTCAACTAATTATTAATTAAAGTATCAATTTCTTAGATGTTTTTGTTTTAATGGTAATATTTATGACTATTTGACTAGGGATAAATAGGTTTAAGTTATCTTTTGGGTATACCTGTGACCATTTGTTAGGTAACCGGGGTCAAATTGTTGTGAGAAAGCAACAATGGTTCAGCTAATTAGATGAAACTAATAAGACTTATGAAAAATTCTTCAATAGCTATTTAGATGAAACTAATAAAATTTATGAAAAATTTTTCAAAAAACAAAATTTTTAGGTAACAAACAATGAAGTGATTTTTTGAGAGCTTTTCACTTACAAAAAATGTTGACATAAAGATTAAAAGCCAAATATTTTTCGTTTTTCATCTATTCATTCGATATGCTCTAACCATTTGCGACATTTTCAGTTTTATATCATCCATAGTATGCCATAGCTATGACTTATGAATGCATAATTTATTGCTTCCTAAATTTTTGATTAAAAAATTATTTTCTGATAAATAAAAAATTTTTGATGAAATTTTAAAAATGTTATTTTGCCTTTCAAATTGATCACTTTATTGATTGATCTGAAATGAATTTTTTCCTTTTTTTTTGTTATTTGCATTATTATTACTTTTTGTATTGTAAATAATGCCTTTCTTCTTTTTACATGTTTTCGATTTTAAAATAAAACATTGTTATGTTAATGTACAAAATTTTTTTAAAGCTATTTATTAGCTGTATCATAAAGATTACTAATGACACAAATTTTGATTTGTTATAAAATTTAATAAATTGATAACTGCTAGATTACATTATTCATTTCAACTATATTTGCAATACGTGCAACATATAAAATTTACTATCATTAATAAATTTCAATTTTTCTTTTTGATTTCATGCATATATATATATATATATATATATATATATATGTCACAATCACAATCATTCTATTATATTCAATTTCTAATTTTTTGCTTTAAATTTTATTAGGAAAAATTACACATTCTGTATTTTTTGCAAGACATTAAAAAATATTATATCGAATTATTTCAAGCATTTCATTCATCTATTAAAAAAATGTTTTTTAGTTGGAGGAATGTATTAAAAATTTTCCTGAATTTTCAAGTAGAAAAAAAGAGACCGAATAATCGATCGCTTATCATTTGTTTATTTGAAATTGAAATAAAATAATAGATTTGAACTATGTCACAACAATTGAAATGGTACGACATAATTCAAATCACTTCAATTATAGCAAAAGATATTAGTATGAAAACGCAAAAAAAATTTTTAAAAATTAGATTATAAACAAAGTTATACAGAAATCACAGGATATATCAATTAACTTTAAATGAATAAAATTTTTTTTCAGATATAAGTAACATGTAATAGTCATGAAGTAATCATTTTTTTTTTTCGTTTAATCTATTAAACTTTACATACTGCTAATCTTTGAATTGTTGGATTAAATTGAATTACTGAAATTGATGTAATGCAAATACCAATTATTAAATCAGTATGGTTAATTATTCAAATAAGTGATATACGGACGAGAAATAAGGCAATTAGTAAAATAAGCGTAAATTTTATATATGGCAAATCAGATATTGCTTTTTCCAACTTTTCATCAACTTTTCTTTGCTGTTCAATGATAAGAAATTTGATTGTTTCAAATTCCGCAGAAAATTTTTCTACTTGTCCTTTGATTCTTTCAATTAACTCTCTACCACTACTGCTATCACTAAGTCCTCTTTTATCACCAACACTAATACCACTACCACCACCACTGGTACTAGTGGCACCATCATCAATATTTTTCGTTATTGCTGCTTTTTTCTTTGGTTCGGAAGGTGATCGTTTTCTTGGTGAATGAATCTTTGCATGCAATTGTCTTAATTTATCATCATCTGTTTTCTTTTCTGAAACAAAAACAGAAAATAATACTTTAAAATGAGAATAACAGGAAGAGATGTAAAGAAATTTTTAAAAATGACAAGAAAAAAACATAGCCATTTTACAGTGTTAGCATTGATGATAGAAAAGGAAAAAAAAGGAAAAAATCAATTTATTTAGATGAAAAGGAAATGGAATTTTATGAAATACCTTCAGCATCAGTTTCATCAATATCTGTTAAATGGTCATCAAATTCAAACATTGGCTGTGGCATATTGTTCTTTGCACATAATGCTTCAATTTCACGTTCAATCTTTTCATCATCAATCACTGCCTACAATGCAAATAAATATGACAAAATATATTGAAATATTATCTCTGTGACACATAATCATAAAATTTTGAAGAAAATAATGAAATTGAATAAAAATTGCATAGATTTTTATTATTTAAATTAAAAGAAAAATGAATGAAAAATTAGAGCTCGTATTTTGTTACTAACCAATTAATATATTCTATTAACGAGCAACTATTATTATTTATTTATTTATTTTATTTTTTTATTTTTTTTGTAATAATTAAAGTAAATATTTGTTGTGCTTATTAGATATGTTATTGATTTATTTCTTTATTAGTGTGTTTTTTTTTTTTTATCAGTAAAGAAGAAATAAATATAGAAAGTTTAAAAATGATTATATATTAATTAAGGATGCAATTTCGATAACATTTTTCTTTTCTTTTCTTTCATTTTTTGATTTTTAGTAAATATTAACAAGGAAATAAATTTACCGGTGAGCGAAATTTCTGTCCATGCTTAGTAACTGTTTGACCTTGTAAATGTAGTACAGTATCAGCTATTTTCTCATCTTTATACGCTATAAAATTGAAAATCTTTTTGAAATTATCAAATATATTTTCAAACTGATATAATAAATCGTATAACTTGGGCGAGGATTTCAAATAATCAAATAAATTAGTAATGTAAAAATTGAGTTTTCAGTTTATAATAGGGTTTGAAATTCAAAATTTTATTACTTCTGTAGCATATTGCTTATTGAATATATTAAGTACTAAATTATCTGTAAAAGAAGAAAAAACAAACCTCTAACTCGAATTTTGACTCGGCCAACTTCGGCACCCTCAACAAATGGCATCCGAGGATCGTAACCACTTGGTGCTGCGATATATTCAACCAATAAAAAAGTTTTACCAGGTTTACCTGCCTGAAACATACACGTATATAAGTATTTTACATTTAGGAGAGAGAGAAAGAGAAAGAAGAGAAAGAGGGAAAGAAATGAAAAGGTTATATCATTAAGCATATGTTTCGAGATGTAAGGCTTACACAAAAAAGTAATGAAACTTTTCAGTGAATAAATTTGTTTTAAAAAAGCGAAAAATAGTATTTCCTTTTAGTAATAAAGAAAAGAAAAAGGGAAATAATTCGGAATCACTTAAAATTTAAAACTAAGAGTTCATTTCAAATTTATTCAAAATTTGTGGCTGTAAATTTAGAATCAATAATATTACAAAAGTTTTTTTTTTTTTCAAAATATGCAAATTTTCATGCCATTATTTCATACCCGACGTTCAATAACAATTTGTTTTTTCTGTCCCGGTCGAAGGAAACCCATTGGTGGATTGACCTGCGTTAGTTTGTTATTGATAATTAATATCCTACTTATTTTGTTAATAATTAGACTTTATTTTATTTTAATTAGATTTTAATGCTATTAGATTTTTTTATTAAAATTAATTTACTGTCGGTAATTAAATCTTACTTATTTTGCTATCAATTAGGTTTTATTCTATGCATTTTCTTTTTTTTTTTTTTTTTTTGATTATTAATTGAAGTTTTTTTATGTTTATGTTTACTGAAAACAATCCAATAATTTTTTCTTCACAAACCAAAAAAAAAAGGAAAAAAAAAAACGGAAAAGGATGATCATACGGATCAGTAAAAAAGATAAAAATAAGCTTGCTAACATATTTTTGAAATCTTTTTAAGTCAGTAATTAATCTTTTTTTTTTTTTTGTTTGTTTTAATTTACTCGATATAATTCGAAATATTTCTTCTTCAACCTAACTCTGAAGCATAAACGGTCAGTACCAACACATTCCAATGTATGATTGGTAAATCCACCTGTGCATGGTACCTGAAATATAACATTATATTATATTTCTTCTATTAATCAAATTAATTCTATGGAATTAAAAAAGCCAAATGAATTGGAGAGAAAAATTAAGACGAGAGAGGAGAAAGGAAGAGGTGAGGAGATGATGACAAAGAAAAAAATTCTTTTCTGAAATAATATGAAAAAATAAGTCATTTTCCATTGAATATAAAAAAAACATAGTTGATATTTAATTGATATGATATGATATGATAGTGATATGACAATTAAATTTGGTGATAAAAAAAGAACCAATATAAAAAATACGCCTGTATAAGTGCTGGTGAAACGATAATATATGACATGTCCCAGTAGAATGAAATTAATAAGAAACAACCGTATACTATTACTAATTCTATTAAACTGCGAAGAAAGAATGATAAATTTTCAATTTAAAAAAAATAAAAAAAAAAGGAATATTTTTCCATTATGATAATTAAATTACAATACAATGCATATAAATCAAATTATTTATTGACGACTTTTTCATTTCTATTTTTCTTTACTTCATTTCTGGCTCTTTTTTTTGCTTCATTTCCTCTTTTTTAATGCACAAATCAAAATTTAATTGAATTTCTTTCCTTTCATATTAACCAATTAGTGGTTAATTAATAGCTGGTAGAAAAGAAAATTATTATTTACTAATTTATTATTAGTACCAGTGTTGAAGAGATTTCTTTTCTTTTTTGTTATTGATGACAGTTTCTGTTCCATAATTAACCCTTAGAATCTTTCACTTCCTTTACACTCTTCCTCTCTGTTTGCCACTCCCTCTCCCTCTCTCTTTCCATAACATTGGCACCCTATGTAGTGTATCCTTGGTGCACCATTGCAAGGGGACACAATAATGTGGTGCGCATAGACAGAAACAAATAACACCCCGAAGCTACCGACGCATATATGTATACATACACATATACGCACGTACATATGCAGGCACGTAGATTTGGGTAGACGGACAGACATGTCGGTGGTAGTGGTGATGGTGGGTCGCTGTGATAGCGTACACCATGGACTACCGGATAGGCAAGGGGTGTGCACCTATCCGTGCACACTCACACAGACGTACCAATCGATTGGTACCCTAATGATAGGTGGGAGGTGGTTATGTGATGGTAGCTTAGGTTGATAGAGAACCGAATAGATAAGTGGAAAGAATAGATAAGATGGCGGTAATAGTAGGGGTGAGCAGAGAGGCACCGCACATTATTACCAGATGGAGGAACCACAGCACAACAACACATCTGTTCATATTTCTCTTTTCAATACTACCAACCAACACTATTGCTACTGCTACTGCTACTGCTACTGCTATTACTATGACTACCGCTTACTGCGATTGTTAATTAATTAAATTTCAGTTTAAATTCCATTTCATACATAGTATATTTACAAACGAAATGGGGTTTTTTAGTTAGTGGATAAAGAGACGAAGTGAAGATGAATAATATAAATAAATAAATAATGATAGGATAATAGGAAAAATTAGTTAATTAATTAGTTATGGTATTAATATTTCAAATACTTCTGGAATATTTGAGATATTTTGAAAAGTAATATCAGTTAAGCAATCAATCAGATGTGATATTTGTAATGTATGTTTATACTTTTTTTTCTACTCTTTAACTTCTTCAGTAACTAATTTTGCTACTTTTTTTTCGAACATTTCATATCATTCGACGGGTATTATGGCATTTTTCCGAACAAAACGATGAAATCTATAATTTGTTCATTAAAAAAAAAAAAATATGAAATGAATAAAAGAAAAGTTTGCAGATGGAATATGTCGGTACAAAATAAATGCAAACAGTATCTATCCGCCGAATGATACGTCAAAAATGTTATCTTTTTAATCGATCTACTATAGCGGAGCTACGTCATTTAAAAAAAAAAAAAAAAAAAACTGCCGAAAAGAAGAAGAAAAAAGAAAGATATTGCAGGAGAATTTTGTTAATGGCCGAGGGTGAAGAGTTATTTTTAATTGATAACAGCCTAGATATGTCTCTTGTCGATGAAGAAAGCAGTGATTTCTCAGGTTACTTCTATGCTTACTTAATTATATTTTGTGATTAAAATTCTTGAAATTTCAATATATTTCATTAGTTTACTAATATTTGAATAATTTATTTATTATTCACTCTGATATATTTTTAATATAATACCATGATAACTAATACTTGTTACTTTTTTTTATCCCGAATTTTATCTTAAAAAAAAAGTTAAATTTATTCACTTTTTTTACAAAATTAAATTTATTCCTTCTACTAACTCATCCAATAATAAATGCTTAATGATATCAACGATTTTTTTATTGTGATAAACATATGATTGATATCTCTTTTCCTAGCCTTATCATTTTTCATCTTTAGAAGACAAAAAGGTGTTGTATATTTTGTATTCCTTATTTATACACATTTTTTTTTAAATGATGCTTGAAATTTTAGATGTTTTGTTAAAATCGAAAACATCGTCCCAAAAAGTAACAGTGACACGGCAACGTCGCATTAATCGTGTGTTTTATTTTTCTTATCATAGTTTAGTTTTCTTCATTTGTATAAATCTACATCAGTAAAACTGAATTACTGAATATGTCATTTATGAATTAATTCAGTTCAATTTTTATACTCTATATTATCAGCCTGAACGAATTATGAAAAGGAAAGAGAATGAAACATTTTGAATAATGGATTAATAGTTTTTTTTTTTTTGTCATTATTGGCTCGATATATGGGAATGATGTGAGGAAATTATTATAAATAATTCTAGATTATAATGTAAAATTATACTGTCATTAATATACGAATTTTGATAATAACTAATTTTATTGTTGAAAGGAACATTTATGTATGATATCTATCTGTAAGATAAAATTTTATTTTAATAGCCATTTCATTTGAATTATTCCTATTTTCAGTCATTAAAATTGAAGTTTTTTCAGCTGCAATAAGTAAAGTATTTGGTGAAGTCTACAATTCACGAGGGAAACTGAATGATATGTATCGTCGGAAAGCTGTTAATTCGTTACACATTACGGAATCAGTACCGGAACATATCACACAACTTGATTTCATATCGTTAATTCCCAGCGAACTTCGAACTGATCAACGAATTGTCATCGATTTGGTCAAACGTTTATCGGAAGCAGCTCGACATCGACAGCGAATTGCTCGGGCTAATTTCATATATCGTAATGAAGCGCAACGTTTGTCAGAAATTTTTCGGTTAGTTGTAAATCTTTCAAGTTTCTTTTTTTTTTAATAAGAAAAGATGAACTTGAAATGTTTGGTTTTTTCGTTTGATTGATTCATTTCTTTTTTTTTTCTTTTTTTTTTTTTGTTCAATTTTTTTTTTTCTCGGATTTGAGGCCAGATTTTGTACTGGGAAACAACTGCATGCTGAAAATGTCGTTTAATTGAACAGTTTAGATTTAGAGTAAAAGAAGTAACGCTTGAAAATAGAACTACATTTTACTAAGCTAATAATAATAGGTTTTTTTGGTTAGTTTGGAATTATGTTTTCCAATTTTGTTATAAGTTATATATAATTAGGACAGTTTCAGAGGAATGATGTTATTTTGCAACTCTGACTGATTGTTTACATTGCAGTGAATGTGCTCATCGTGAAGAGCAATGCATTCGACTTGCAAAGTTAATAAGTGATGTACGTAGCGAGCGTCAATGGAAAGGTAGTATGCCAAGTGTGGAATGGTTTTTACGACGTAAGAAAGGTGTTGTTTCATCAAAGGCTCAAAAAATGGGTTAATTTAATTTAGTCTTCTACCTTTTCACTTTTGTTCCTTTTTATTAAATAAAAATGTCTGCTGAGAGTTTTGCTAGCATTTACTTAAAGGAATAGCTAAATGGAAATCTTTGAAATGCTGAAATATGATCTTACGGTGAATTGATCTGGAATAGTTCAGTTAGTTATAGGTTTGTCTAGCTTAGATATGATGAATTAAGTGATTTTGCTAACATGTTGAAACATATAATTTGGAACTTTCTTCGCTTTACTTATATTCTAAACGCATTTATTTATAAATATATATTTCCATTCTTTTGTAAGGCAGTGTTTGATTGCAGCTCTTTTTTATTCAAAATATCTCAAAATAGAATTTTATGAACAAGATGTTTTGATTGTCATGCATACTTATTTACGATTCCGAAAATAAATGATTAAAGCTTAGTTTACTGCTGTGGAGTGAGTAGTCGTAGCAAGTCGATAAATTATGAATAGTTGAGGAGAAAACAATTTCTTCATCATTTCTTATCCTGTATTTATATTTTCCAAGAACACACGCTGAGATTCAATTTAAGATTCTGTTAATTAAAAGTGCAACAAATTTGAAATATCATAATGAAAGTTTCTTCTGATAAATTAGTAAAAAGTGAGGTGAATATACTTAAATATACATTAGGTCATCCATTGACAACTTATGTTACACTCTCGTTTAGATCAACAAGCAGCTGGTCCGGCAGCACCGAATAAACTTAAACGTTTGTTGGAAATCTCCAAAACTTCAAATGGTAGTGAGGAACGATTGAAAGTACCAAAAAGTGTTAGTTTTTTAATTCATTTCTTTCTATTCTTTTTTTCCCTTTTAGTGCTTTAACATTTGACGTATATGTATTTTCAAGTAATTTGATTTCTTTTTTCAATTCAGGAATTTGAATCACCTGATGAATCCAGTAGCTATACAGATTATTTGAAACAAGTTTTCCTGAATCCAGCTGCAAATCTTCCTCATAATGAGAAGCAAAATTTGGAAATGAAAATTGAGCCGGAAACACCAATAGGGACACTTACAGCGATGGGAAGTCCAAATGGTGTTAGCACTACAATTATTAGCACTGAGGAATTGCATTTTCCAAGCAGTTCCAATTTAGAATCAGGTAAGTTTTTGCAAACTTCTATTTTTCAGTATAATTTTAGAATTATATGAATTAGAATAAGAAAAACTTTTGATGAATACTATGTCATTATCTACTTTTTTCAGTAATTTAGCTTTCCTTTTGTACCTGTTATCTCAGGCTTGATTTTTTGACAATCAAGATTGTTTGAGATTTACAAGTAGCTTGCTGACTCTTATTCTTATCTACACTGATTAACTTCTTATCCTAGAGAACAAGATTGCAGTATGGATTGTTTGATAATTTAATTTTTCATTTTATATATGATCAAAAAGAAAGCATTTAATTGACTGTTGAATGTCTAAGTCTTAAGTTTTTTTTTTTACCTTTTCGATATATTTTGATATATGCTATTTCATAGTTGCAAGAAGGCTCCTTGAAAGCATCCTTCGTAGCGT